AAATCCTGTTGGACCGCTTATAATTGGAAACACATTGGCGTCAAAGAGCAGCAGAATGCTGAGCTCTTTGCTTTTGCTCCCGGCTATTGAAGAAGCAACAGTACCCTGATATCTGTGCCCCCAGTTGATTGCACATCCCTGGAGTCTCCTGGCATTTGCTGTTTTCTTGTAAAGATCAGGAGACTGTTCTTAGCATGGGTGATCGATGCAGCAGGGATTTCTAAAGTGAAGCTCTTTATTGTTCCGGGTTTTGTGGCTGTTGCCTTTTCAACAAGTACCAAATGACCACCCTTTTAAATCTACCAAGAAATTAATTAGTTCCTCTTCTCAGACACTTTTAAAAAGTCTACAGCCTGAGTCCTCTGGGAGCTCCATACTTCCCGACACTAGCCGGAGTGAAAGATGCCAGCATTAGAGCCAGGTGTTAAAAGAGCCGAATGTCTCCTGTTCTCCTTCCCCACACAGGACAGCTGGGAGCCTCTGCTGCACCAGAGGCCATGATTGAAGCCAACGTGACTAGGAGTCTTGATTGTTTCCCTTTAAACCCATGAACACAACTTTATCCCTGGAGACTAGGTGTAGTTATCAAAATCTCATACTTTGATAACTTTTGCATGAGTTAATCCTTGAAACTAAATAGAAATCAGTGTTGATTTTTTTTTTTAGTAGTTGCTAAGGGGAGCTGACTCATCTAGCCCATCTTTGGCATTGTAAGTCAGGATGTATCAGAGGCTACCAAAATCAATTTTAGTTTAGCAGTGGAGGGTGGGGCTATCAATGGATAAAAATTATTGATGAAAATCTTGCATAAACATTATTTTGGAACTAGTTAAAAGTTAATGAATCCAAGTATTTTAAATGAGGAAAGAGTCACAGGAGAGTGACGCAACTTTGCTGTTAGGGTCCATGAATAAACCCTTCTTAAACTCCAGACACGTCTGCAACAGGCTGTCCAGAGGCCAGTCTAGGGGAAGAGGACAATTGTTGAACAAGGTAGATGCTTAGACTGTGTAAAAGCCAACACACACACACACACACACACACACACACACACACACACACACACACACGAACACACACAGGGAGGAGGGATAATGAAGGAAAGATGATGAGAAAGAAAAGTTTTTCCTGAATAGAACATCAGATCTTGTGCAACTAATAATGAAATAATTCTGCATCCCATGCTTCTTTAAAAAGATACTTTGTATTGCAGAAAATAAAGAGCAATTTTGAAAGTTTAAACTTTAAAAAGACATGCCAGCATTTCACTGTGGATGATATAATTAATGCATGAGCACACACTTTCACCTAGACTCCTAGCATCTGAAAACAGTGTAAACTTAGGCCCCATAGAAGAGTGGGGAAAGATGCCTGGAGCCAAGAGATCAAAAACAAACGGCAGAACGTGATGCTTTACCGATTCTCAGCCTTGTCCCAAGAAGCATCTTTTAAGTGTTGAATATTTAGAGGCTGACATCCCAGCGCTGCATAGGATACGTGTAAAAGGTTTAGTTAGTGCTCAAATACAACTGCCTCCTCTCTAAGAATGTAACTCAGTATTAGAAATGTCAATATTTTTAACTTTTATTTGGGACCTTCATTCAGTCAGTAAATGTTAATTTAACATCTATAATTACCTACAACTGAAGTACTACTACTACTGCATGTTTAACCTTACAATTAAACCACAATTTACACTTACACACATCTTTTGGCTTCTTTTCATAGCAGGTTATGTGTACCTAAGCATCTGTAATTCCTCTTATAGGGTTATAATCTTGTCCCATATGAAAGTTTTCAATTCTTTCTGGGCTCTTCATCTTGAAGCAGTATTTTGTTTTCTGAATAACTCTATACTAGGCAGAGTTGGTGCCAGGGACTACAATTAGAAGAAACAAGCCTTGCTTCACGTCACAGCTTTTAAAGAATCTTAGTAGTGTTACACTTTCCTCTTATAGTACTCCACTGTCCAGACACAGTGCGAAAAAACAAAGCAAAGCGAACCGCACAGTGAGGCCTGAGCCGCGTTACCACTCAGCCATTCAGAAGAGTGACTCCCCATTTCTATGCTTCATTTCCATAAAACGGACCTGAAGCTGGTTTCCTGAGAAAATCTGAAACCTTGGTCAGTTGTAACCTCTCAGCCCTTAGCTTATCTGTAAACTTAGAAAATTGGTTTACATGTTTCTAAGCTTCCTTCAGCCCCCAAAGTCTGTAATTCTATGCTAAGGTCTACGCATGAGCTGACCAGCCCTCCAGTTTGTACATTATTCCAACACTGCTCAATTAGTCATTTAAAATTTCATAAGTCATCTTCAAATTTGTCATGCCCAAACATCTCTACTTTCTTTGGACTTCTCAGCTAGCACTTGCATTATCCGAATGCTTGTGGGATTCATTCTTTTATCCCTATATGAAAATGTTTCTCCTTCCTTCCCTTCGATGCTTTTGCTTTGGAGCCTGTCCTGCATCTCGCTCTGTAGACCTGGCTCTGCCTCCCGAGTGCTGGGATTAAAGGCGTGTGTGCCACCACCGTCTGATGCTTTTCTTTCTTCCTACTCAGTCTAATGTTTTCCTGCATATTGAAGGTTAACTCCCAACTTGCCCTTATGTGATGCTTCCAATGGCTTAGCAGTTTCCACGTCCTAATTTTCAGTTCTTTCTTATTCAGTGCACGCTCAAAACATAATTTTGGGTGATGGTTGGTCTCCCGCTCTCTCTCGCTCGCTCGCTCACTCTCGCTCTCTCTCTCTCATTGAGATGCTTATAGTGCTAAAAAAATTTTATTGTGACTTACATGTAGTGTGCACTTTATGGTTTCCTGCATGGTACTCGGGCCATGCCTATGGACCCTTACCCTTCTCAAGAATTCCTCAAGTATCAGTTGAGCACATAATAATTCTTCTTACTCACTCACTCACCTCACACAGTCCATTCTGTTGAAGTACACTACAAACTATGTTTGGATAACTTAAACTCCCAACTGTTAGAAACCTGGTGTAGTCTCTAAATTTCCCCAATTTTCATGATTATATAGTACTTTAATTTTCCATTTTATAAACTATTTTCTCTATATGTAAAGACTTTGGGCTACATAGAAGTTTATCATTCTCCAAGTAGATGCCCCTGTCGATCCTATGAGTCTGACACAAAGATGGAAGCAAATAGATGGAGAAGAAAATGAAGACACAAGCTTCTTCAGTACCGCAGGCCCTAGAGGCCTGGCTGAGAGCCCAGCGTTGTGCATTAACTACCTTTGTGTTGCAATGACCAAAGACACTGGCAAAAGCAGTTTAAGGGGGGAAGGCGGGTGCTGGCTCGTGGGTCCACAGTGGTGGGAAGTCTGGCAGCATCCACTGTGGCCACAGTGTGAGGCAGAGGCTGCTTTTCACGTGGAGTCTAACCTGAGAGCCGGTGAAGGTCTACTCCACCAGCCAGGCTGTGTCTCCTAAGGGCTCCATGCCTTCAAAATGGTGCTGTAAGCTAAGGACTGAGTGTTCAGATGGGAGCTGTGGGCAGCATTTTAGCTTCAAATCATGACACTCAGAGTTGACCTGTGGCTAAATCCCAGTCCCATATGTATTGTGAGTTGGCTCCTGTTAGTTCTTTCTATTGTGACTTACAAAGTTTATTGAATTTAGACTTAACTTTTAATCTTAACTCTTTAGTGGAAAACCCTAATCGTCTTACCCGAATTCCAACGTCAGTGATGTTGGCACACTCAGACAGAGAAAGTTCCCTCAGTTTCCTGTGTCTGGAGAGTATGTTCAAGCTCTAAAAATATAAAGACCATTTTGTGATTACAATTTAGTATGGGATGTGTCCAAGAGCCATTTGTACAAACTAATGGCTTAAAAGAACAGTCATTTAAGCAAGCTAAATAGAACTATCTACCTTATGGGTCATACCTCCTTATATCTAACAAAGCAATGAGCTTAACTTTGGCAAGAAAATTAATTTTAGTCACTATTAAACTATTAAATATGATTTTTCAGTTGTCTCTAATACTTTGCAAAACAAAAACAAAAACAAAAAACCAAAACAAAACAAAAAAACTACAGAGTCGAAAAGCTAGAAATCATCTGTTGCTACTGTGTCCAGACAAATGCTATCAGAACCAATGGGAACTGCCTTGAGTTACTTGAAGACAATTGATGCAGTTTATGAATTTGCCAGGTTCTTATTCATTCCTAACCTAAAAAACTCAAAATCTTTAGTTCATTTCATGAGTCTAGTTTCTGAAAGAGAAAGGGAACAGATCTTTATAAAGGTAAGTAGTCCACTTTTTTTTCGGGTTTAAAGACAAGACAGCGGATTGCTCTCCTGGCCCTTACGTTGTTGTGCACATGGCCATGCTGTGCCACTTCTCAGCAGCTTCCCCAGAACTGACTGGATGGCCCTCCGACGACGTGTACTGATGACCTGATGAACTGGCTTACAGCCATATCCTGCTGAGTATATGTGCTTGTTTGCTGGTGCTGAGGATAAGCCTGGGGTCTTGGCATGCTGGGCAAGTGCTCTCCTGAGACACAGCCTCAGGCTGTCTGTCTTGATTTGTATTAAAGATCGTCTCAGAATCTCACAGGATATGCTTCCTACACAGCCGACATGAGCAGAATTTATTCTCAGTGAGTCCAAGAACCATTAACGGAAGCAATGTCAGAAATGGCTAGGGATTTGTCTTTATTTTCTATTTATCCTCATGGCTAGTTTATATTTTGTTGATCTTAAGTGCAGTGCTTGAGCCATAATGGAAAATAACTATGAAAATGTAAGATCTTGTTTTTTCCCCTTAAATAACTTTCCTTTAAAGAGATTTTATTTTTAAATCCAGATCAAGGGGAAGCGCTTGCCACAGCCATTGTTCAACCATGCTGTCTCAGTTTGTTTAATGATCCTGTGCACTATCTCCAAGGGAAATGACTGCTGGGTCCCTTCATGTCATTGTGACTGTGGAGCCTTTTCTAAAACACGTTATCTTTCCTGCCTCCTCCTTTCAGAGCAAAGAATCCGCCCATGGAGCCATTGCACACAGTCTGCATTCCAGATGCAGATGCTCTTCTATTCATGCCAGAACAACTGGAGGGGTGGAGCTGTTCCCCCAAAGAAACCAAGTTCTTTGAACAAACACACCAAGACATGCGGAGTTATTTCTGTGTCCTACACTTGAAAATAGAAAGAATATAGGACCCTGTGACTCTTCCTTCGACATGACCCCTGAGCAGTTAGGTTTCACTGCTGTAGCCAAGTCAGAATTTGTAAAGCTTAGCCACAGAAGTTCAGTTGTAAACGCTTGTCAGTCTGTTTGCTCCTTACCGCTTCACCAAAGAAACCACTGAAAGTTAAGACAGAGGCTTGGAAACATGATTCAGCCAGTTAAAGCCCTTGTCATGCAAGCCTGATAACCAGAGTTCACATAACCTACATAAAGGGAAACAGAAACAAACTCCATACATGAGCTTTGGCACATGCATCCCCAGCATATACATCCAGGAACAATAATGATAATTGTATTAATAACTTTAAAATTAAAATATGAACATGGAATGCTATGTTTCATACTATAATTGCTCATACGTGAACTCAACAGCAATTGAAGATCAGTAGCTGTCACTTAAGTATATAATGAGATACCACACTAATTGACTAAGATGTCTATAATGAAGAAGAGAGACAATAAAACGTGACAGTGAGGAGATGCGAAGACTGACAGGCAAATAATGCTGCATATTATGCGAGTGGACCAGCTATTCTGGAAAACATGACTCTGTCTCAGAAAGCAAAGCAGAGTCAGCACATGGCCCAGCAATTAGACTCTTCTAGGGGTTTATAATTAAGAATAAAACATCCACATGAAAAAATTGTATGTAAGCGTTCTTAACAATGTTATTCAGAAACAACCCAAATATCTACCAAGGGATGGAAATGTAAATAAGATACATTTTATCCCTATAATACAATGCTAGTTGATAAGAAAAAGAAGTGTTGGTGCATGCCATAGCCTTGAAAACATTGTTCTAGTACAAGAAGCCAGACCCCAAACACCAGACATGATTTCATTGACATATAAAGTCCAAATAGGCAAATATACAGAAAAGATAGATCTGTGCTTGCCTGAAGCCGCTGGAGGGTGTGACAAGCATAGGGAAGGGGTCTCGTTAGGAGTGATGAAAACATTCTGGGGATTAGGCTGTGGTGATAGTTACACAGCTCCATAAATAAACCAGCAAAGTGAAAGGCACTGAGGACCTTTCATCTCAATAACAATTTTGTTAATTGACAATTGTTTGATTAAAAACTATAAAATTTTCCTGTCATTCTTCTGCCCAAGATGGATGAAGACATTGCCTCTGTGTCACGTATTTTTGTTAGACTCATACCTGTGCCCATGCTGACACATTACCATACAGCCTTGCTGCTGAGTAAACTTAACACTAACAGAGAACCAGGAAGTGGAAAGGAGACCAGTCAGTCCTCTGTAAGCACCACCTACGGGCAATAGGGGTCAGCAAGAGAAATGCACTGTTCCAGCCGACGAGATGTGTTCTGATTAGACTTAGGACCTCTCAGAGAACTGACCTAATGAACACCTGTGCCAGCTAGGTAAATGTTCTGTTCAGCTCTATGAGATTCAGAAATGCTCCAAAGCAGGAGGGATTCTCTAAAAGAACTGACAGTTATCTTCTGCAATTTTTATTTTGAAAATCTGTAGTCTCAAGTTTGGGGTTTATAATTGCTCAATTTGATGGGTGAAGGCTTAATAACCCTCCAACCCTCCCACCTCCCACTGTGAAAGAATATCAATAGGCCTGATCTTGTGGGTCTCCTATGCAGCTGCTCTGATTTAAATGGTAGTTGACTGCCATATTTGGAGGACACGGTCCACAACAGCATGAAATAGAACAGCAAGGTGTAGAACTGTACAGCACAGTATAAGTGAATTTATGATGGCATTTAAAGATTTTTCTGAACACTGGTCATCAAACTGTTCCAAAGGAGGAAATTTCTGGCTTTGATGCTATTACTGCTTGGTTTGGTTTAATATCATGGAGCAAACGTGCTGGGGGTTGGCTGGTTCCAAGGTTTAATCGGGAAGCTGGGGGAGAAGCCAATAAGATGGGGTTGCTGGGCCTCAGTCAGCAAAGGGCTGTTGGGCATCCTTCCAGTGAAGTCTGGCAGTATTGCTATGAAAGGTCTTCCTTGTTCGCCCAAAGTCTGCCAAATGCACGAGTCCCTTTGCAGGACAGAGGTCAGGATTTGTTTCCCCAAAGTATAAACAGAGGCTAAATTCATCATCAGAGAAGCTTCGTCCTGCAGCAAAGTGAACAAATACAGAGACCCACAGCCAGACATTATGTAGAGTGAGAGACTTTGGGACACTCAGTCCTCAATGGGAGGTCTCCAGCAAATCCCTCCCCTCAGGGCTCAGGGAACCCTGCAGAAGAGGAGGCAGAAAGGGTGTGAGAGCCAGAGGGATGGAGGACACCAGGGAAACTGGGATCAACATGATCAATGCACATATGAACTCCGAGACTGAGGCAGCATGCACGGGTCTGCATGATCTGCTCAAGGTTCTCTGTGTATGTTATGGCTTCGAGTTTAGTGTTTTTATGGAATTCCCAAGTGTGTGAATGAGTGGGTCTGGTTCTGGTGCCTTCTCTTGGGCTCCTTTCCTTTTGTTTGTTTGTCCTGTTCAACTCCGATGTGATTGTTTTGGTTTTATCTTGTTATATGTTATTATTATCCCTTAGAAGCCTGTGTTTTTCTAATGAGAGACAGGAAAGGAGTAGATCTGGATGGAAGGGGAGGTGGGGAGAAACTGGAAGGAGTAGAGAGAAGGGAAACTACAATCGAAATCTATTATGTGAGAAAAGAATCTGTTTTCAATAAAAGGAAAAAAAAATTAAATTTTAAAAAACAGACTCAATTGTTTAATCGGGTAACACACCGAGGAAACAGCTGGTGTGATAGTCGGGTGAATTATCTGCAGAACTGCAGGCGGTGTGAGAATTTAAGACTCCGGGTTCCCAGCAAGCACTTTGCTTCTCCATAGCCCACAAAACAGAAGGACATGGATCCAAGATGCCTAGGAATCCATAGTGGGAACGTGGCTTACACTACAGTATCAGGTTCACTGAGGGATGTGGTCTCAAGACATAAGATTCAAAAGAAAGCAGCCATCAAGTCATCCTAACAAATCTGCATGACACCCAGAGTGGCAGAGGTAAACAGAGCTCTCCTGGTGTGGGGAACACACTGTTACACCTTACATCAAGAACAAAGTGAGAGAAAAATGGGGCTTGTGTTTTAAGAGACCACCCAGTAGGTGTGACTGCTTCCAACTGGAAGGCAAGGGGGTGGTCTAGCAGAGCTTTCAAAGAGGAAGAAAACTCTGAATTAAGCCTAAAGATTGTGATTTGGGCATGCAGTAAATATAATAGGGACAGCCTTTCAGTCGAGGAAATGGTATAAGCTGAGACTTTGTTTGGAAGTGAGTTGCTTGGAAGCAGTTCAGTTTGGGGTCACTGGAATCAGTGGGAGGGAAGACAGAACACTGCCAGGGACAGATGCATGCACACAAGACCTTTGAAAGCTGAAAGTTTCTTGAACCTTTCTCCCAGTTTTACATCTGGATTTGTTTAGCTAATGTAGATAGACATCGGCAATGAACTGGTTACTGAATGTTAGGATGGGGGGAGCATGTTAGGGTGGGGGTGCCTGCTCTGGCCAAGTCATCCTATCCCTGGCTTGGAACACCACCAACATAAATATAAAACATCTTCTTCCAACTCTATATTGAAAACATTCATATTTCCAGAAAAGGTCAAAGAAAATTAGAAGGAATACCTTTATGTCCTTTACCTAAATTCTTCAGTTAGCATGTGTGTGTGTAGGCCACATGACAACCGCGGGTGTCATCGTCCTTGGGTGCAGTTCATTTTGATTTTTGTTGTTGTTGTCATTGTTTGTTTGCTGGGGGGGGGCGTGTCTCTGATTAGACTGTGGCCTCTGAGCCTCGGGGATCTGCCTGTCTCTACTTCTCCAGAGCTGGGATTTTACAAGTTCATGCCACCGCACCTGGCTTTCCACGTGGGGTTCTGAGGGGTGAACTTGGGCCCTCGTGGGGCTGAGCTCTCTCCCCAGCCCAGGATGCTTTTGGAAGCACCCTTGTCAGTTCTTGAATGTCTCATAATCTGCATTGTCTGCTTATGCTTTGGCTTGTTTTTGGATGTCACCCGAATGCTGCCACACACCCCTGGGAGTCTCCGTCAGGCTGTTGCACAAGCAGGGATGTCACTGGGTCACGTGATCTGACTGCTACACCACTTCATTAGATACGTATTTTCCTTGAGTTCATAAATCTATAGTGTGGCTCTTTCAGGATGTTACAGTTGGACAATAACTTTCTGCTCTATGATTTTAGTATTTCTTGCTGGTCCTTGTCTAAGTAAGTTATTAGATGCACTTTTTAATTTCTGTCCTTCATTTTTAGATTCCTTAGCTGGACCTTATTTAAATTTTCCTTTTCTTACTGAACTTTCCCTTTAATTCTGCTAAAACATTGGGGAGCGCTTTGAATAAATGAAAGCTCTTAGACCTAGTACTGTCCCGAGTCATGTGTGGTGTTACACAGTCATTGTTTTATATCCTGAGGATTGAACACTGGGCCTCACAAATCTGAGTACACAGTTTTACCAGTGAGCTATACACTCAGTCATTTATAAATACTAGTTTAACTTGCCTAAATTCTTGTTAAACCTATTTATGAGATAAAATCACTGTCTTTCCTGGTGGAATTATGTCTCTTGTTGGTAAAAGATGCTGGCTGAGGGAAGTGTTCATGTTCTGCCGATCTCTCAGAATGAGTAGCCAACCATGATTTCTTAAACCATATCCTGCATGTGAAAATGAGGCAGATGAAAACTGCCTAAATAGATCAGTAGTATGATGATGAGGTTTAGATTTTCATAACTCACATGGCTTTTCTTCTGAGATACTGAATTTTTATAAAGAGCCTGGAAAATAGTCAAGGCATTATGGAATGTGGTCATTAGCGCAAATATAGTATGGTAGTTTATCTGGCAGCCACGATGCTATAAATCATCCTTATGAATGGTTTGTTTCAGCTTAGAAACTCACTTTCATTTTTAGATTTTATTTATTTATTCATTATTTATTTTGAGACAAGTTCTCACTGTATGACTGAGGAAGCCTCAAGCTCCAGACCCTCCTGTCCCAGCCTCTTGAACGCTGGGGTTACAAGTCTAAGACACCAGGCCTGTCTTAGCAATACGTGTTAACATAAGCATGCCAGAACAGTGAGCATGGAGAGGGTGGCATCATAACTGTCATGCTCATGATTTAAAAACCATAAAAATGCATAAGGTTTCGTAGTTTGCCCAACTTTTAAGTCACTTTTTAGTAGTCTCTAGAAAAGGTAAGTAAGCCCACAGACTCTAAGATAAACATGCTAAAACAGAGATCTCATCCACAGCTGTAAACCAAGAGAAAATAAGACTTCATAAGGAAAGAGATGTATTTTACTCAGAGTCTAGTGGCTTGATGATGCACCCTGCAAAGATCTCCATGGCTGAGCCACAGCATGGTAAGCAGAGAGAGAGAAATCCTTGCATACAGAAGATGTCAAGGCCTGGAGAGGCCTCGCTCTGCAGCAGCCCCCTCTCCTGACATAGCACTAGTCTGTTTGTGAGGGTGGACCCCTATGACGGAACTGCTACCCACTGGGCACCATGGTTACAGGTTGCATGACCTCAACACTGCCACAACAGTGTGTGAGTCCCAGAACTTGGGCTTTTGGAAGAATACACCACTTCAAACTCATGGGGCAACAATCAGCCAAAACACAACAAAATGTTTTGCTCAACAGAGGGAGAAACTGAGGGGGGATAATTCTGACTAGAAGACCTTGACAGTAGCAGGAACGAGAGAGGAGTAAAAAAAGAATGAATGAATGACTAAGTTTCTCAAGAAGAGAATAGCTGAGGCTATGGTGTATTTGGAGTAGTCCACAAACACCAAATGCTGGTTGTAAATAATGTTGCACGACATGCTTAGGTTTAGATAGCAGGGTGTGAAACTGCATTTGTGCACATGTACATGCAGTGTGTACATGCACAGTACAATCAGAGAGCACTCCTAGAAATACATTAACATTTAGGAGTGGGCAAACATTTCAATGCATTTTTCTGTAACCCACATTTATTTTGGTGCTGTTAGAATGTTCATGAAAAATCATTTAGAATAATTTGTAGGGAAAATCCAACACAAAAATCATTATTACATTTTTTAATCAACAAAGAATTCTATGAAGTATTAACTCTGGGCTCTATTCTTCACAGAGTCACACAGTTCTGGTTCTAAACTATACCATGCAAATATATCAATAGTTAAGGGAAGTACTAAGCTAGGAACAGAAACACACATCATTTTTCCAAAAAACAAAATTCTTTTTTTATAAAAACGGATGAGTGCTTCCTAACTTCATATTGCGTGGTCCGTCTGTGAAGCGTGACCCTGCTGACCAGCCCTCCCTGTCTGAGGCTCCACTTCCCTTGCATCCATGACATTATTCTGACCTCCTCTCCTACCTACTTCTTTAGATATTCTGTGGATCTCTCAAACTGGCCCGCTGCACCTGCCTTCGCGCATCCAGGCTTCGGCAGCACCTTCGCCATCTCTCTTGCTCACGTATTTACTAACTGCTGACTCGGCCGCAGCGGGCCCTGAGTACCTCAAAGCAGCACATGACTTTCCGAAGTCTGGTAGTACAACGGGAAGCCGCGGGCTTTCATGCGCTCTTCCTTCTGGTCTGCTAGCTGGTCAGGGTCTGTTAAAAGAACTTCCTTTAAGAACTTTGCCCCTCCTCAGCTGTGCTTTCGTGGCCTTGCCTATGGGGGCTTCCCTGCAGGGGAAATCTGTATAACACGGGAAATTTGGTAGTTACATATAATTTCACTGAATGTGAACTCTGAAATAAAATGGACCGGGCAGCAAGAAGTCTAGGATGACTGAGAAGCCTCTACTGGGGTGTAGAAGAACATGGGATCTGAAAGAACCTTCAAGTGAAAATACAGGAAGCCCTGCTTCCCGGTGCTAAAGATAAAGAAAACACTTGGTAACTCTCCTGTTTTGATATTCTGAAATTTGTATGCATATAAATCCTGGAACTCCAGACAACCCAAGGAAAACAGCAAAGCCAAACAAAGCAACAGCAGATATTCCAAAAATCAGGCAAGTGTCTGTCTTCTGTCTGTCTATTCTTTGTCATCTGGTACCAAAGGAGCCCATGGTAACTGGGATCAAATATGTCCAAAACAGAATTTGGCATCTTTCCTCCAAGTCTCCACCTCTCTCCTAGGTTCTTTTCCTGATTAGTGACCTATTATGCCTACACCTGGACAAATAAAAATCCTGAGTACTGCCTGGGACGACTCTCTCAACACTCCCCACACCATTTCCCACTCTCCATTCCCAGCTATCTGTCAGGCTCTGCTACCTGCCATTGTAAGAGCTGCTGTTCTGTAAGAGACCTTCTCCACTGGGGCCGGACTCACTGCACGCAGAGCTGTGTGTGGCTCCCACTGCTTAGCTTCTCACTCTGTTGGTCACCAGAGCACTGGGAAACAGGCAGCATTACAATCATTGCTTGAAAAGGAAGGAAATGGAGACACACTCGCCCAAGCTCTCACAGTGTGGTAGCACCAGTGAGGACACTAGCGAGGATGCTCTAAACCGTGCTGTTCATAACTTGCAATCACCTGGCGCTATTTTCCTCTTGTTTTGACACTGGGGCTGTGCCTTTCGTTTAGTACTTCAGAACTGACAGGCAGTTGATAGTGAATAAATAAATACTTGTTGAATGAATGGGGAGCTGGTGTCATGATGGTGTGTGTCTGCGTCTCTCTCTCTGTGTGGTCAGAGGTTGATGGCAGCTGCCTCCTCAGTTGCTCTCCACCTTATTTTCTGAGACAAGGTCTTTCTCTGGAACCCGGAGCTTGCTGATTAGACTGGCTAGCCAGTCAGCCCCAGAGGTCATCATGTCCTGACTCCCCAGAGCTGGGCTTACAGACATGTGCCACCCTGTCTTGCACACAGTTCTAGGATCTGAACTTGGGTCATCTCCCCAGCCCTGCTGTGTGGACTGTGTTGATTAGCTCTTGTTTTGCTGACACTCTCTGATTCATGACTGGAATACACTTTGTTTTCAATTGTTTGATCTGAGAAGGATTTGTTCTCCCCGGTACTACTTGCAGTCTATTAGCAATAGTGAATCAAACTTGTTCTTGGACTGTGCACCATCTCAGCGAGACTCCATCTGAAGCCACTGATAACACCACCCTGTACAAACTGCCAAACTACTTGCCCTTCTATAGCTAATTAGAAATTACAATTTTATAAAGAGACTTACCCCTCAACTAATTTTTTTTGCTTCTACTCACTTCATTGTTAGTATGAATCCTGTGATCATATTTACTTTTAGCTCTCTCTCTCTCTCTCTCTCTCTCTCTCTCTCTCTCTCTCTCTCTCTCTCTCTCTCTCTCTCTCTCTGAGGCTGTCTTACACAGTAACACAAGCTTCCCTGGAACTCACTACGTAGCACAGGCTGGCCTCAAACTCACGGCAATCTTTCTGCCTCAACCTCCTAAACTGCTGAAACTAAAGCTTGAGCCACTACAGATAGCTCTGTGGTAACTTCTTTGTGAGATGTTATCAGCCTTTTTGACAATGATAAGGCCTGAAGGGACGCAGACTCTGCCCAACACTTAGAAATGTAGAGTATCTGGGAAGACCAGCATCTCTGCTAGCTGGGCTCATGGCAGCTCCCCTCCAGGGCGGAGGAGAGAGGTTCTGCCCAGGATTCTCTGAGAGAATGACAGACAGCACCCTACTTCTCTTTATAGATTTAGCGGGCACTTCGCTGGACACAGGAGACAAGGCACTGTGACCTCTGTGAGAGAAACTGAGGTTACCAGTCACAGAATCTGCATATTTACATCCTATCCTGGCTGGAGAGAAGGACGAGAGGCCCGTCTCCCTGTGGAAGCCACAGCTGGCTTCTTGTTCTGTGTTTTTGAAAATTCAAGGCCAATTCACATGTCGCTGAGTTCCCTGCTTCCATTTAACGATCATCTTTTCCTATATCCCGAGTCCCAAGGGAATTCCGGGTTTCCTGTTTGGGAGGTTGTGTGTCCCTGGACCTTGAGCTTTATTTGTGTGTGTTCCATGCAGATGGGTGGTCTCCACCAGCATGTCATCAGATGAAGACATGCAGCTGTAAGTACTCCCACTCTGGCTCAGAGCATTGCTGAGAAAAGGTGGAATTTAAAGAAGCCTTGAGTGCTTGGTGGAGAAAGGAAATAGTGCCAGATCCATTCATTCACTCGCTCATGGATAAAACATCCTGTGCTTCCTATGAAGTAGGCATTAGTACCAGGCAGCTTAAAGATGAGATGGCCCAGCCTCTATCCTCCCAGGGCCTAGAGTACATAGGAAGGGGGCTTAGAACAAATATGAAGAATAATGGGCCAATTGTTTTTTTAACATAATTTCTTTATTGAATCTTTGGGAATTTTGCTGCAAGGTGTAGGAAAATGTAGTGGAATTCAGCTACTGTGACAAAAGCTATGACCTGGAAAGTCAAGGACTTTTCCAGCTGGTCATTCCAGGCCACTGGGGCTGCCTGCCTTAGGTGAGAGGGTGGAGCCAGGTCCCCTAGGCCCATGCCATCAGGGTCAGTTCTCCCTTTCCCATGATGAGGGGTGGGACCCTGAGTGTGGGGGCCAGCTCTCCTGTGAGGGGTAGTGGCCAGCTCTCCCGATGTGGTGTCCAGGTAGAGGCAGGGCCAGCAGAGGTTGGGTCTGGCTCAGCATGGCCCTCTGATTTCATCATGCATTGTTTCTATGACACCCTGAGGTGACACAGGCCACAGACATCAACACAGAACCCAGCTGAGGTAGGACCATAGACCCAGACAAGGCCCTCAGCTGCAGCTCAGACCAGTTGTGTTTGACTGAGGCATAGAGACTACTCAGTGGGAATGTGGAGAAAGTCCTAAGCCTCTAGCCATCCTGGACAGGAAGGAAGATATTCTATCAGACTACCCAGACAATGCATCCTATAGAACTGGAATTTCCCCCAGGAAAGGCGGGGGCCCTGGTGTCAACTGCAGTGGGGGCTTATCTCCTGGACAAGAGTTCACACAGTCCTGACAACTTGGTGGAAGGTTCTGCAGAAGAGGCCACAGCATAAACAATGGTGGTGGGGGACCACACCCCAACCAGACATCTTAGCTATGCACCTCTGACCCTTCATTTAAACCTAAACCTCATGTCAGGACCCTGAAAATGGACTTGGGAGTAGGGTAGGGGTATCATTGTACTTCTTGGCTACTCCTCCTCCCAATGCAGACAAATTGAATAAATTTCCTTTTTCTGCTTTTCACACTTACTTGTTGGTATAATTGGCCTATTGTGAATGGTGGCTAAGCATGGCTTCTTGGGGTCTGCCAGAGCCCAGGCTCTGACCTAACAACTCTGTAACAAGCCTACTCAAAAGTGTCCAAAGAGCCACTCAGAGCTGAAACTTAAAAGACATGTCAGAATGGATTGGGTGGGCAAGGAAGGGGAGGCATGGCTGACAGAGGGAATAGTTTATGCAGATGAAGAACGCACGCGGTATATTTGGGGAGACAGATGTCAAAGGTGTGAGTAAGCTGCAAGTGGGACAGCAGAGGGAGCAGTGTACACACGTGTGCACACTCACACGTGCACACACACACACACACACACACACACACACACACACACACACACAGAGCACAGGCCACCTGCCGCTTAGGCTTTGGGAGACAGCAGTCAGTAAAATACTTCATCGTAGTCTTGTTGTTGTTGGCCTTTGTTTAGATTAAAAATATCTTAAACTAGATAGCCTGTGGCTTACAATTCAAATTAACATGGAAAGTGAATCGAATTAGATCTGGATTTTGTGCAATTCTGATTGAAAATGATTTGTGTACTTCCGAAAGTTTTAAGAAGGTGTCTAAGTAGGTAACAAGCACAAGGAAGCCGCACTGTGAAGGGAGGGCGACAATGACACAGAGGACATTAGGAACAGAACAACACTTACCTAACATTCGTGGAAAACAGCTGGAATTACGTCACTGCACGGTTTGTTTTCCTAAAGAAAGGATGTATCACCAGGCCTGGCGGTGTGCGCCTATACCACAGCTCTTCAGGAGCCTGGAGCATGAGCCTCAAATGTCAAGGCTACGAGGTGAGCTCAAGGCCAGCCTGGGAAATTTAGTGAGACCTTGTCTCAAAATAAAAAATAGCAAGAGGGTTGGAGTGTAATTGATGGAGTTAGAGAGCTTGCTCGGCCTGAACCAGGCCCTCAGTCTACTCCCTGGCACTGAAAAAAACATTAAGCAAGCATGCAAGGAAGGGAGGGAGAGGGAGGAGAGGGGAGGGAGGGGAGGGGAAGGGGGAGGGAAGAAGGGAGGAAGGAAACATAAAAATCCATTTGATATTATCTAGATAGAGAACTGATTTTCTGTCATTATGGACAGTATGACCAATGCTTATTATAGAAAAATTATCTCAAAATATTAACAGACCATCTAGCTCCGTCAAGATCCCCTAATTACCTACCCAGGAACATGCAGGATGGTTGTATCCAGGCAGGAGGAGTATCCAGGCACATGTATAAAGACCCTGCATCCCAGGCACATGTTTACAGATCCCACATCCCAGGCACATGTTTACAGAACCAGCATCCCAGGCACATGTTTACAGAACCAGCATCCCAGGCACATGTTTACAGAACCAGCATCCCAGGCACATGTTTACAGAACCAGCATCCCAGGCACATGTTTACAGATCCCGCATCCCAGGCACATGTTTACAGATCCCGCATCCCAGGCACATGTATAAAGACCCTGCATCCCAGGCACATGTTTACAGATCCCTGCATCCCAGGCACATGTTTACAGATCCCACATCCCAGGCACATGTTTACAGATCCCGCATCCCAGGCACATGTTTACAGATCCCGCATCCCAGGCACATGTTTACAGATCCCACATCCCAGGCACATGTTTACAGATCCCACATCCCAGGCACATGTTTACAGATCCCACATCCCAGGCACATGTTTACAGAGCCAGCATCCCAGGCACATGTTTACAGATCCCACATCCCAGGCACATGTTTACAGATCCCGCATCCCAGGCACATGTTTACAGATCCCGCATCCCAGGCACATGTTTACAGATCCCGCATCCCAGGCACATGTTTACAGATCCCGCATCCCAGGCACATGTTTACAGATCCCGCATCCCAGGCACATGTTTACAGATCCCGCATCCCAGGCACATGTTTACAGATCCCGCATCCCAGGCACATGTTTACAGATCCCGCATCCCAGGCACATGTATAAATCTTCCTGTTCTACAACTGGCCAATCACCAACACCTTTCAGTTTTACCTACACCTACCAAATATTGTTTAGAGTCCTTTCCATACTAGCTCTAGACTGGTTCAAGGACTCCTTTTCCTTTAATTCCTAGAACACTTATTGGTTCTGTTCCCATAGTCCTTCCCCTAATCACCCACTGTGGTGGTTTGAATGAGAATGGCCCCCATAGGCTCCTATACTTGGTCACCAGGGAGTGGGACTGTTTGAAAGGATTAGGAGGTGTGCCCTTGTTGGAGGAAGTGTCACTGTAGGTGGGCCCATGCCAGCCCTCTTCCCCCACAACCCCCAGATCAGAATCTAGTTCTCAGCTCCTGCTCCAGCACCAGGTGCGATGCTCCCACCATGACGACAACAGACTAAACCTCTGAACTGTAAGCCAGCCCCAATTAACT